CAATATTATCACAGATATTTTAATTTATGACGATATGAGAAATCTGTTAAATTTTACACAGTTTGTTCATTAAAGATTTTTCAAACCAATCATAATTTCTTTTTTTGATGCACCATTTTTGTTAAGTTGTTAGTGCTGTGGAAAAAAACCCATAAACTCTTTTTTTATGAATGGGTTTGGTTAAATGTCATATTGTATTCTAGTCAAAATTGTATTTTTATAATAACTTGAAATACATTTCTAGAATTGGCGCAATTGTTTGGACATTTCAAATATGGACATGTTTTATCCTGTATTGTTGAATATCAGAAGACCCCCATGTATGGTTTGTTATAAATTTTACTTCATGTCATTCAATTAAATCACATAATCGACAAAACTGTACATCTGTGTATGGATTGTTATGATGCCCTATCAGGCTGATACTTCTCAAAGGAGGCTTAAAAATTTTCTTGTAACCAGATCATGTGTGTTCTGTCTTATCAATCAAGATTAAGAAGCTAAGTTATTAACACATGATTAATACAGTTTTTTTAAGAATGGTTAATATAACTTTTCACATATCAGTGTGTGTATCAGTAACATAAAAGAAAAATCCAATAAAAACTCCAAGGAAGCAGGTAAAAGAACGGCAAAAAATACAAATATATGTTATGCATTTTGTTAAAAAAATAATAATTAATAAAAACGACATAATAAATGTTCATTAACCTTCCACATTTTGAACACAGGACAACCGCAACGTCAACGAGAACAGCAATAACTTGGAGACAAAATATATGCAAAATTCGCATTCCATTGTAATCCTTCTAATGGTCATAATTGTGATATATTTATATCTGATAATTTTAGATTGTTAATATATGTTTATATAATTTGATAAAAATTCTTTGAAACGGAACAAGAAAATTTACAAATCGAAAATTATTACAGCGTATTCTGCCATGATTTTGTTTTAACAGTATTAAGATATTTTTTGTTATTTTATTAATTTTTTGTAATGGGAAGAGTTTCATGCCTAATGTTTAAGACGTTTTTCATTACATTTCATTAATTCAAAATAACGTTTAAAAGAAAATACATGTATGTGAATATTATATTTTTAAAAATTACAGCAAAATCACATGGTGTGAAACTTGCTGCTTGAAACATGAAGGATATGGAGATAATGAACTGCATTCAATAACAAAGTCCGTAAAATAATTCATTAAAGGAAAAGAGCAACACGGAACTCCAAAACATCAGAGGTGGAATCAGGTGTCATGGAGGAGTGAGAACCTCTGCCAACCGGTCACACCCGCCGTAAAGCACGACAGAAAGAAATGACATCCCTGCAGTGTTTATTTATCACATTTAGTATATTTTTTTTATATCTTACAAATGCATTTTAGATGTCACGTGGACCATATACAAGCTTAAATCTCAGTTCAAGGTTAAAAGAAGTGAGATTATTTAAACAATAAAATGCTTTCTTTGATGTTACTGGAATGAACGGAAGCAGCTATTGCAGAAAAAATACATAACCCGCGTAAGCGGGTTATGTTAATTTTTTCTGCAATAGCTGCGACCGTTCATTCCAGTAACAACAAACAAAGAAAGACATTTTATTGTTTATATTTATATCTGTTTAATTTATCATTTTAAATAGGATTAAAAATATTAATTATTGTGTTAATGATGCGAACGTCTTTGTACATTTCATTGATGGAACGGCCACTTATCAAGAAATCTGTACAGGTGATATGCCTAATGTAGTTTATGTAGGGATGAACGCAATGGGTTTTCTTAAGAAATAAAGAAGGAACTATTCAGTGGATGCAAATATTTAAGGAATAACTGTCTTATTTTTCTAATTCATGAAGTGATCAATGGATTGGCTTGTGTGATAATTTGCATAATTGCCGATGGCGTTTATGCATAAAATTATCACACAAGCCAATCCATTGATCATCTTCATGAGTTCGAAAAATCTGACAGTTATTCCTTATATTTACATGCTTTGATTCCGCCAATCCACGTGCTCCTAACCTGCTTCTCTCTAGGTGTTGTCCTGCCCTGCACGTGGTTTTTTTTTGGAACCGCGCCAAAACATTCATGAGGAAATAAATTTCATTTACAATTGGTAATTTTATCTCGGACAAAGACATTGGAAATGTATATATCATACCGTATATCAGGTTTTCTTGCGTCATATTTTTTCCGCAAATCAGAGCCTAAATTAGTCAGACGCGAGTCAAATTTTCATTATATCAAAGTCCCAGTGTTTATATTATTAACAATTGTTTAAGCCTTTGAAGGAACTGGATGTAAAATGTAAAGTCTCATACGGGTGAGAAATAGATCGATCGACCTTCACCTTGTCATTTTCGGAAGACCCGCACAGCTGATTACACACCGGTGTTGCCTACTAACTCTCAAATGCACAGATATTACTTTTAAAGATTTAAATAATCATAGGTCATTTAATTTTGCAAACTGACTAGCAGCTCAGGTATAATTAGTTTTATTGTTTCTTGCTAGGAACGTGACCCACCACCCATATAATTAGCTAGCTTGTTAATTACCAGTAGTAAATAAACAATAAGGGCTTATACCTATTACCGGTATCAAGGCTTGTCCTCTGATCCCGCTAATTCTACCCTCTAAGATATAAGCATGAAGAAATAATTCTACTACAAGGAGAAAACTTTGTACTAAATTTACCACGTTGTTTTATTTTCCGCGATTCAGAACTCGTCGCGAACAAAGCGGAAATTGGATACACGCGGAAAAATCTTGAAATACGGTAATAGCCACCCAGAAGACATACATGTACCTGTACCAATTCATAATTTAATGCATGAGTCCAATTATTTTGAATAATTTATTGAACGAAATTAAACATTAAATATAATAACTTATTTTTCTAGACATAATATTGTAAGCTGCCAAATATCATTTGGCAAAGGAAATTTTGATACAGTTTAGTTTTTAAATTTGATCATTTTTGTATAACTTTATATGGAGCGCTTCCTCTAAAGGAGATCAAATTAGTCTAAAAATGGCTACAACCATCAATTCCCCCTTATTTTTACAAGTAAACATAAAATGATGAATCCCTTTACTAAGCCGTCGTTTATTTCAAAATAATTTATTTTAGTGGTATTTCAACTCAAACTCACATTTCACTTATTAAAAAGATTCTTTTTTTCAAATTCAGACGTCATATTTGATTTCTATATCTCTCTTAAACCAAATTGAACTTGAATTACTATAGATAAGGAAACCGGAGTTACTATATCCAGAAAAACCCTCATAGATAAGGCAGATTCTGGAAAATATTTACTCAAACGTCTCTATTTACTTCTCTTAAAAGTGTTCTCAGCGATGAAAGAAAAACAACACGTGTTCTGTTGGACAGGATATTCGAGAGTTTCTATCAAATTTGGATATTTTTTTTTCTTTTTTTTTTACATTTTAAATTCAATTTTGACAAAATTATTATTTACAAGAGGTTATGCTTTCAACGCTGTTTACAATCATTACCCTTATAAGTCCTTATTTACCTTGCAAGTCATGTGTAGGTAAATATAAGATATCATTTTGTGTCTACATTGTTGGATCTCAGCCAAGCAGATAGATAGGAATTAGTGAATAATATAATAGTGAGTTTTATTCAGAGTATGCAAATAAAAGAAATGATCAATGGATACCATTGCCTTTTATTAAACTACATCAATATTTCCTTAAGATTTCTAGAATTGCTTGATTATCATTTTTCTGGATGTTCAGTGTTTTATTTAAAAAAAACTTATTCATAAAACACTTTAATGAGAGAACTGAAATCAGAAAAGCTTAAGCAAACTCCTGTTTGATATAAATCTATACCTTGAAAAGCATTATTCAAAAACAAAACTTCATGATAAACTTTATGATTTTAACTTTTCAATCGTCAACATCTCTAACCAACTTAAGTTCTATATGGTCGATAGAATAACATTTATCATTCAGTCAAATGCTGACACACCTTTTTTTGTATCAATTGTTTGTCAGTTTTACACACTGAATTGTCCACAGATTTTTCCGTTATTTCCCGATCATAGCATAGCATCTGATCCCACCTCTGATGTTACAGAGGTCCTTGTTTGCTCTGCTACAATTCCATACTATTAAATAAACTTTCGAGCTTTTATACTGTTTGTTATCTCAATATAATTTAATTCTGGTTGTAACGCTGTATTTGATTGGATAAAAAAATTTACTTCATATCGTATAAAATGGGTTGCCAACGTCACAATGACGTGCTTCAAAAACGTATCAATCCGCCTGACGTTACATTCAAAGAAGAAGGTATGATTTTAGCTTTATTGCGCCCTAAAAATGTAATGACATCAAAAAGTTTTGAAACATGTTTTAAATATTAGTTAAATAAATGACTTTGATAAATCAGGAAAGAATGTGGCATTAAGGTTTACCATTCTGCAAATATGACGTCATTAATGTGAAGCATTTCTTTATTTTCAACAGAAAAAGCCTCAAAATGGCACATTTCAAGGGTGATTTTCCTTCCTTTAGAAAACAGTGTCCACAGCCGTCGCCCACTTTAATTTTTTGATATTTTGTGCAAAATTTAATACCAAATCACATATCTCAAGATCTTTGTGGGCGATGCCTGTGGACAATGTTTTCTGAAAGAAAATTCCATTGAAAATTGGTGTCTTCTGCAACTTTTTAAGAAAATACGGGAAAATGCACATGTTTATGACGTCATAATTAACATTTATAATTACATGTGAGAAAAATGACCTGTATGATTTTTCTGTATTGAATTTCAATTATTTAAAAAGCATGAGTTTTCAACCTTTACACCAGTTTCATTTTTTAGAAAATCACAGGGCAAAATTTGTATGCAAACCATACCTTCTTCTTTTGTACAAATTGAAGTCATTTTGTTAGAACAATCAGCTTTTTTTCTTACATCAAGTGAATAAAAATTAAATTATAAGCAATGAATTTAATAGCTATTAAATTCATTCCTTAAATAATTCAAAACGTCCCAAAAAATAATCACTTTTATCACAATATTGGCAATAACGGTATAATGAATCAACTTCATTTATCCTTGCCTCCAGAAGTTCTATTTTATCTTTTTCAGAGAGTTCTTTATATGATTGCACACTTTTGTAAGACCTCAATTTAAATCGAACCAGTCGTTTGAAAGTCCGTGCTCGTATTTTTGGCATGTTGTATTCACTTCCATAAAAGTATGATTTCAATAAAAATTTCACTTCGCCTTCCATTGATTTGTCACATTTTTCTCTTTGATTCATCTCTTTAAGAAGCCATGCTTCACATCTCCTGATAATTGAATTAACCTGGTATTCTTTGGCTAACGGCAGTAATCTCTCAATCATACCCTCTACAATTTAACAAGTTAAATATATTGAATTAAAGAAAATTAATACTGAAAATATAAAGAATGTTTTATAAAACTACAGTTTTTAAATGTTATTCCGAAAACATTTAATTATCCCTTAACTTCAAGAAGTTTTAAAATGACAAAAACACAGTTAAGCTAAAAATTTTGAAATATTTTTTTTTTCCATTTTTTACAAATACAAAGCTAAAGTCTTTTTGATGATTATCAAAAAATTGAACTTCATATGCTGAGATACAGGACAGATTGAGAGTTCCAAACCTTTGTTATGTAAACAGATTCTGTGTCATATTTTTGTTTACATAGGCTAAGCTACTTATATATGTTCGTCAAAGCAGATAATTTCTAAAAAGAACTTAATTCTAAAAATTATCTGACAACTTCTAGTGATTGGATGTTTTTCATTTTGTTATAAAATTTATATTTTCTATATGTAAAAAAAACAAGACACGAGCCTTTTTTACATTATGAAAACGTTAAAGTCTGTATCTTGTTTGTAAATCAGCAAAAGATGTTCAAAATTTGGCTGATCTTTAGACGAGAAAAAAAAGGCCCACTTTTAATTATCTATTTCCTTATATAAACATCGTATATTATAAATGTATCGACTTTCAATGCCGTTAATATAATTTTGTCCTTTTATCCACGATTATGCATAAGCAATCCATTGTTTTTAGCCTTGATATTACAATAAAACGCAGTAAGACATATTCTAGGTAAAACCAACACATATTCCCCGTGTATTTTTAAAAATTGAATGACTTCCTTTTTTCTTTCATAGAAAAAATCATTAAATAAACATACATGTACTTTAATTTTGTTTATTCTACATTTGTTAGATCTATATATATTAATATGAATCAAGGTAGAAGATATCAACATTATGATTATTAGTATAATTCATCTTTAAGATTATAGTTGATCTACCAAACAGAAATTTTTCTACTTTCTGTTTAATGCATGTATCATTCCAAATGGAATCCTTCAACCATATTTAAACTTTTTTTTTTTAAAAAAATGCACAATTTAAGAGATACATACCATTCAAATCCAAGTATTTGTCTGGAGATAAGCACATCAGAAATTTTTCGAAATCCCTGTAGGTTTTTCCAGGTAGTTCAATTTCCTTTGAACTTTTTTCTTTGAAATCCGAAGAAAACATTGCTTTAAAAACAGGAGACGCGATGGAAAGAATTGTTTTAAAGGTATATATCTTTCGTCCCTCCACAACAAAAGCAATATCCGTTACTCCTGGTTCTTCTGGAAACTCATCAACTGCCCTTTCAGTTTTAATATCCAGGGACATGGTATCATTTAACAAAGTAAAAAAAAAAACTTTAAACTGGATACTCTTCTGTGCAATTACTCGTTGACGAACTTGTATAAAGACAGACAAACACAGATAAACACTTTTGGAAATCAATATTCAGACGTCTATATATAGATCCACAGGTGATTTTTTAACATTTTAAATATACCAAATTATGGATAACCGTTCGGTACTGTTTTACATGTAAGTATATCAGATATGAATTTTTAAATGTTCCAAAGAACCTTTAAAAAATTTAAAATCACACAATTTTACCAATAAAACAAGATAGAAATACGATTTATCAATCTTATATAAAACAACTCCCTAAGATAAATCAAAATCTGGGCTCATTGATATTATTGGGAGGTCTATTCTATACGAAAGCCCAGAAGGCTCATTCAAGCTTAAGATTCAAGTTTCGAAATACGAGATTCGAAATTCGATTTTCGAAATTCAAGATCCAAACTAACCAATCAAAAGCGGGTTCAACATTTGATTACCCCCCTTTGTTATGTTTTTACTCTCAAGAAATCGTTGAATATATCTACAAAAAATAGGTCATTTGCTAAAATGCAATATCATGTTTAATGTTTAAATGAAAAAAAATGTTTAATGCATCAAAACGAAATAAAATTAAGATTTGGTTTACATTTTGAAATATATATATATAATATTATTTTTCTCATTAAACAAAATAGTAAATACGTATATAAGGAATATTAATTGGTCTTATCGTTGACTCGAGGAACAAGAAGGTCGACTATTTTTTTTTTTTAATCAGATCATTGCTTAGTGAAAATATTGTATTTGATTAAAATTAGATATGAAATACTAGGATTATGAATCGTCTCTAAACTGCGCAGTAATTCAAGGGTATATATTTCATTACATTTATAACGGGTACATTTTTGCAGTGAGACTTGGCTTCTAAATCGAACTGTAGCGTTTTAACCTTTCACGGGTATATTTTAGTCTTTGGTCATAACGGTATGGTCAGAGACTAAAACTTAAAACCATAACGCTATAGTTCTGCATCTAATTTAAACTCAATCTACTATTGATATAAGACAAAATAAATGCATTTATTCTAATTCATATTGATAATCTGTAATGAATATAATTTTTAATTAATTCAAGAAACACCTTAGATGAAGATATGCAATTAAATACTTAATTTTTATGTATTTCCTCTATAGATAATAAAAACGAAGGCGATTTTTGTTTTTCAATACTACGTCGCCCTTAAAGTTTTACAACATCGCATTTTATTTGTTTTGGAAAAACAGGCAGGTGGGGTGGGTAGGGGTGGGAATATTGTTAATCTTTAGACACTCGACACTTATTTATAACTTTATTTATATGTCATCATCCTCGGAAACAAAGTAGACAATACAAAAATCTATATACTCCTGATATATATACTCTATTTAATATTTAAAGAGCCATAATATAAATTTAAGTATATCTTGCTGTTCAAAAACCCAAAGATTATTTAAATTTCCTTTTAATATATATATATATAACACTCTTTCTTGCATTGTAATTAAATCAAATGACTCATTTGTTATATACTAAAGGATTTCTTGATAGTAAAATCATAATAAAGGGAAGTAATCAAATGTTGAACCCGCTTTTGCTTGGTTGATCTGGATCTTGAATCTCGAAACTCGAATTTCGAATCTCGAATATCGAATCTCGTATTTCGATTCTCGAATTTCGTATTTCGAACCCCTAATCTCGAATGAGCCTTCTGGGCTGTCGTAATTTTATTTATATATATTTACATTTGTAAAATTTTAATGTGTTCCCTTATATAACACTACTTAAACAAGGCGTTTTACATCTCTGTAAAACATGTTCGTCATTTGACCCTAAATTTATCTTTTAGTCATAAGCGATCGACGTAATACTTAAACAAGGCGTTTTACATCTCTGTAAAACATGTTCGTCATTTGACCCTAAATTTATCGTTTAGTCATAAACGATCGACGTAATATCATAGTAACGTCATAAGCTATCGACGTTATCAACACTTTCAATGTATATCGCTGAGTTTAAAAAACATTTATGGATTTAAAACTTAACATAAAGAGGCTGGGGGTGGCAGCCATTTTCAGACTATTTTGATCTCCTTTAAAAGAAAAGCTCCATATAAAGATATACAAAAATGATCACATTCTTAAACTAAAATGTATAAATTTTTCTTTGCCTAATGATAGCTGACAGCTTAAGATTCCGTATCTAAAAAAATAAGTTAAAGCTGGTGGTTAATTTGTGTTTTTTTGTTGACCCCTAGCCTCCTAAAGTACCTCACTATTTGTAATAAATCAGTCACAAATGTAAATATAAGTAATAAGGTACACTGTACCATTTTTAAAAGTTTTATTGGGATGTAAAATGGGTTTGTCATATGATCAAATCTTTCATAAAGCCCGAAGGGCTTTATGGGGTTTGATCAAGTTACGAATTCGTTTTACATCCCAATAAAACAAAAAAATGGTACCTTATTTCTTAAGTATATAGAAAAAAGAAGTCGTAAAGCGACTTACCTTGTCATTGGTAATTTGCAAAATTATTTTAATAATTTTCTTTGGTTCCAATGACGCCAAATTATAAGCAGACTTTCGTTTGTATTCATTGCGCAGAATTTGTTTAGGATCTTAAATGTGAAAAGAAAAGAAGAAACTCTTGGTGTGGCCTCAACTCAATATTTAGATATATGGATAACGTATTGTCAATCAACAATGGTTATTCCACAATTTCTCGGTGAACTGGAAATAAAAGATACCACAGATTCTGACATAGACACACAGACAGTCATTTTTGTTTAGATATTTAACTAGAAAAAGATGTTAAACGTAATGGTGGTCTTACAACAACTTAATTAACGTGATGACTTTATCTTTTCTGTCGTGGACTTCCATTATTTATGCAGCAATATACCATTAATCACCTGCATATGGGGTTTTTACTTTCAGTTCATTCAATTGGCAAGAACAAGTTCTACGTTTTAACAAATTCTAAAATGAGGTATTAAGCTATTGACAAACAGGGTGATGAAGCAAAATATCAGCAGTCTCATTTGAAGTCATTATTTCGTAAATTTAGATGTATGGTTGATACAATGACCTGTCAGCAAAAATATTTTAAAAAATCGATCATTAAGTCAAATGCTGACCAAATATTTTCATACTAATTCAGTTAAACTTTTACTGGAATCTATTTTATATCTTATTTTGTAAGGATTTTAATGAAGTTTTGGAATCTAGTTTAGATATGGAAATTCATTCTTGTTGTTTGTAATACTTAAAAAAATATCAAAACTGACAAATTATTTTGAAAAAAAAATCTTCCTTAGAAAGGGAACTTTGAGTATCAGTTGGATTACTAGTTAGAGAATTAAATTCAAGTTCCTCCATAATAATCCATAAATTGAGCCTTTCAAACAAAGACAATGTTGTTACCCGGTTTGTCAGCAGGGACAAGAACGAACTGATCTTGTAATCTATCCTATTCTTTTTTCAGTTTTGAATTAATCAATACAGAGATAAATAGATGGTTTTTATATATAAATCCCTTCAATCGCTTAATGAGTCACTACCTTTGTTTACGTCTTAGGTATGACGCGGCGCCGCGATCGAGAATCGAACCCGGGCCTCCCGATCACGAAGCAAACGCTCTACCACTAGGCTACCGTGACCGGTGCTATGGAAATAGGGAAAATTTTATACAAAAAAAACAAAAAATTGAGCCCCCGCCCTGAATTTGATTTAAAAAAGGTTGGACTGAGTTATTAAAGGATAAGTGAAAGATTTACGTACAAAACTTTGTTCCTCATTTTTGAATTCTTATAATATGTTGTATCATGTCTTACCAAGGTTGAACAATTTAAAACTATCTCAAAATCTTAATATTTTAAAATTCAAGTTTTTGTGCCCTGTGTATGAATTTAAGCATGTTATAAACAATTATCCTTCAATTGATACTGGAAATTATGACCTTTATGTTGTTCATGAAGGATCTGAGGTGAAGTGTAAATTGGGATTGAACCTTGTGTCTTCAAACTTTTTAAAAAACTATTTCATATCTCATTGTCGTGTAAATCATCTTCTTATTTAGCACTGGAATTAGCACCATTTTCCAAAACGACAAAGTACAAACTATTTTTATGTAAGATCAAACAAAAAGAAACATTTTAAACATTTTATAGGCTATATATTTCAATACATTTACACATATAAAAGTGAATGGTTAAAATCTAAAAAAAAAAATGAACCAAAAAGCAACAAAGACCACCACACATGCAGAAGTCCTCAACGGAAGAAAAAAAAAGTCCTAAAGAAATACAACAAACACCAATACCAAAAAAAAAAATACATCCTTGAACTTAAATGTACTTCCTGTTTAACAGGTGGCCATATGACAAGAAACATCTGCATTGTCAATTTTAGCGGAAGGATTTCTTATACATAGAAGCAACTCTTGGCTGTGAATGTGTATTGTGAGTACATATGCAAAAATATTCTCTAAAAATAATAGACTAAAACTTTCAAGTCGTTAAAAGGTTGAAAGGTACAGTTTCCTATTAAATAAGAGTTAATATTCTGAGTGTAATATTGATTTTTTTTTTAATTTTAATACACTGTATTTAATACATACAGCATAACCGCTGCGTTGATTTTGAAAGTATCCATTTGTTGCCTTTACTACACAATATGTCGCATTTTTTTTTCGAAGTGAAAGTCGAAATGATTTCTCCTTCAAGTTCTTCAATACATGTTGTAAGTTGTTTAGGCCTTGTACAACTAGGATTATTCAATAAAGTCTCTGATAAGTTATATTTTCAAATTTAATGTAAACAATTTTGAAGTAAATATAGATAAAACTTTGTCGTCAAAGTGAATTCATAAGTTTTAATTTTTCTACTAACTTAAAGATTATATTCTTCACTCGAAAAAGTTACTGATTTTTACCATCTTTGAAATGATTTCGAAAGGATTTAGAAATGCTACCAAAACGCGTCATGTGGTACAAGAGAGAAATATGTGCGCATTTAAAACTGTTTTATATACTGTTAAAAAGTTTTTGCGGCGCTACTAAAGGGCGTACAGAAATATTTCCTTAACCCTTTTTTTGGATATTTGAAACCATTTTATAGCTAATTTGGATGAATTAAATACCCACACTATCAATTAGGAAATAATATAGATGTAGTTACATTATCAGTATGCATTTTAGAAGATCACGTTTCATATGATATAAAAAACATTGTTTGATTCGCTAAGCTTATAAAGCATACCACGATCAAACATTTTAGTGTAGCCCTACCAATGTATATATTTCGATGTTTTCTTGGGCGGGTAATCATGGTGCAATATAATGACTAGACGGAAACAATCTTAATTTACCTGACCCGATCAATTGTTAAGGTATTACGGAAACTTTTTGATGACAAAATAACTACAGCATATTACACACGACACATTTGTAATTTCAACTTTTCTATTTTCAACATTGCTTCGTTGTGTAGCGATATTTCATTATGTTCCCCAAACGAAGTTGGGGAACATATTGTTTTTACTCTGTTTCTTCTTCTTATTATTATTATTATTAGGTCTTTCCACCTTTCTGTGGAAAGACCTCTTGAAATGCTTATGTTTATTATTAGGGCTTTCCACCTTTCTGTGGAAAGACCTCTTGAAATGCTTATGTTTATTATTATTATTTTTCTTCCCGGACTTTTGAAACCGCAAGACTTATCGAAAAACTTTATAGTTCATGAAACTGGATATCAAAAGTTATTCTGAAAAACGACAGCCCTTGTTTGAACTTTGACCCCTTTCGAAGTTATTGCCCCTTTCGCTAGAAATGCTTGTTATCGCTACTCCTTCGAAACCGTAAACCGTACAAATATGAAACCTTCACTAAAGTCTTCGACTAATTGAGAGGACTCTGGAATCTATTCATTGCGAAAGTATTCGGTGACCTCTTCAATGAGTTATTGCCCCTGAAACTTTTTGAATTTTAGAAATAATTAAAAATTTTCAAAACGAGAAGTGATAGAGACATGGGACCAACTGCATAAGATTCATTGACCTTTGAGCTTAAAATTCATGTAAAGGTCAAAGGTCAAGGTCATTCCAAAACTGAGAAATTTAGTTCTTTTTATATCTTTTTTGTCTCTTAACATATACAAACTGTCTTAGCATCATAAATAAGTACTCTTGAAACTATTTTAAAGATTCAATTCGTATTCCGTAAGATTGACCCTATTAAAAGTTACCGCCCTTTGTGCGGAAAACCTTGTTATCGCTACTACTTCGAAACCATAAACCGTACAAATATGAAACCTTCACTAAAGTCTTCGCCTAATTGAGAGGACTCTGGAATCTATTCATTGCAAAAGTTTTCGGTGACCCCTTCAATGAGTTATTGCCCCTGAAACTGTTTTAATTTTAGAAATAATTAAAAATTTTCAAAACGAGAAGTGAAAGAGACATGGGACCAACTGCATAAGATTTATTGACCTTTGACCTTCAAATTAATTTCAAGGTCAAAGGTCAAGGTCATTCCAAATATGAGGAATAAATTTCTTTCAATAGCTTTTATATCCTCAAACATATACTATCTATCTTCTGTCTGTAACATGCACTCTTAATACTCTTTTAATGATTTTTTTCTTGTACCCTAAGATTGACCCTTTGAAAAGTTATTGCCCCTTGTGCGAAAAATCTTGTTATCGCTACTCCTTTGAAACCATAGACCGTAGAGACACCAAACCTTCACTGATGTTTTAAGGGTCTAAAGACCTAACTTCACTGTATCAGTGCTAAAGAATCTGATGACCCCTTATATGAGTTATTGCCCTTTAACTTCTTTGTACTTATTATTAAACATGATAACTTGAAAACTATAAGTCGTAGAAGCATGGGGTCAATTGCATTGGGACCCTTGACCTTTGACCTTGAACATTTTCTCAAGGTCAAAGGTCAAGGTCATTCCATTTTTTTTAAATTTTCATTTCTCTATGCTTTAAGACCATTTTGGATTCTTTTTCATGGAATTTAATTTTAAGGAGTCAGATATATAACAAATTTGAAATTCAAAGAAGGTGGAAAGACCTCTTATTGTTCTGTGAACAATAAGTCTCCTAGTTATTATTATTTTTCTTCCCGGACTTTTGAAACCGCAAGACTTATCGAAAAACTTTATAGTTCATGACATTGGATATTCAAAGTTATTCTGAAAAACGACCCCCCATGTTTGATCTTTGACACCTTTCAAAGTTATTGCCCCTTTCGCAAGAAATGCTTGTTATCGCTACTCCTTCGAAACCGTAAACCGTAGAAATATGAAACCTTCACTAAAGTCTTCGACTAATTGAGAGGACTCTGGAATCTATTCATTGCGAAAGTATTCGGTGACTCCTTCAATGAGTTATTGCCCCTGAAACTTTTTGAATTTTAGAAATAATTAAAAATTTTCAAAACCAGAAGTGATAGAGACATGGGACCAACTGCATAAGATTCATTGAGCTTTGAGCTTAAAATTCATGTAAAGGTCAAAGGTCAAGGTCATTCCAAAATTGAGAAATTAAGCTCTTTTTATATCTTTTTTGTCTCTTAACATATACAAACTGTCTTAGCATCATTAATATGTACTTTTAAAACTATTTTAAAGATTCAATTCGTATTCCGTAAGATTGACCCTATTAAAAGTTATCACCCTTTGTGCAGAAAACCTTGTTATCGCTACTACTGCGAAACCATAAACCGTACAAATATGAAACCTTCACTAAAGTCTTCGACTAATTGAGAGGATTCTGGAATCTATTCATTGCGAAAGTATTCGGTGACTTCTTCATTGAGTTATTGCCCCTGAAACTTTTTGAATTTTAGAAATAATTAAAAATGTTCAATACAAGAAGTGATGGAGACATGGGACCAACTGCATAAGATTCATTTACCTTTGAGGTTAAAATTCATGTAAAGGTCAAAGGTCAAGGTCATTCCAAAATTGAGAAATTACGCTCTTTTTATATCCATTTTGTCTCTAAACATATACAAACTGTCTTAGCATCATTAATATGCACTCTTAAAACTATTTAAAAGATTCAATTCGTATTCTGTAAGATTGATCCTATTAACAGTTATCGCCCTTTGTGCGGTAAACCTTGTTATCGCTACTACTTCGGAACCGTAAACCGTACAAATATGAAACCTTCACTAAAGTCTTCGACTAATTGAGAGGGTTCTGGAATTTATTCATTGTGAAAGTATTTGGTGACTCCTTCAATGAGTTATTGCCCTTGAAAGTCTCTGAATTTTAGAAATAATTAAAAATTTTCAAAACGAGAAGGTATAGAGACATGAGCCCAACTGCATAAGATTCATTGACCTTTGAGCTTAAAATTCATGTAAAGGTCAAAGGTCAAGGTCATTCCGAAACTGAGAAATTTAGCTCTTTTTATATCTCTTTTGTCTTTCAACATATGCTTAATGTCTATGCATCATTAATATGTACTTTTAAAATTGTGTATTAGATTTCATTCTCATCCCCTAAGATTGACCCTATTAAAAATTATTGCCCCTTGTACGAAAAACATTTTTATTGCTATAGCTCCAAAACCGTAAACCGCAAAGACACGAAACCTTCTCTAATGTCTTATGGGACTTTAGACAAAACTTTTATGTTCAAGTGCAAAAGGATCTGGTGACTCCTTGAATGAGTTACTGCCCTTAAATGCTTTTGTGCTTACTATTAAACCTTATAACTTTAAAACTATAAGTCATAGAGACATTGGATTAATTACAATGTGACCCTTGACCTTTGACCTTGAATATGACTTGAAGGTCAAAGGTCAAGGTCACCTAAAAAAAATTTTCATTTTCATTTTTTTCTTCTTTTAAGCAATTTCTGGTTTCTTTTTTTATGAAATTTAATTTTAAATAGATAAATATTAAATGAAATTGAAATTCAAAAGGTGGAAAGACCTCTTATTGTTCTGTGAACAATAAGTCTCCTAGTTATTATTTTTCTTCTTCTTCTTCCTGGGTACTTTTTTGTCCGGGAATGATCTTGTAAACTGTTCGTCCGAGGTAGGTAAAACCTTTTTAGGGTAAGTAGACATGTTATGCAGATTGGCGAAATCAAGGTCATTTTGCGCGCACGTGCTTGCAAGAGCGCGCACGTGCAACACTTGCAATAACCAATATAATAGATATAGTCGGAACTTTTCTATTTTTTGATAAAATGCTTTGAAACTCATAATGTAAGGATACATTAGTAGTATAGACAAGATGGCATTGTCAAAATAGCAAGATCTCACGCGCATGCACGTGCACTTTGCTCTGATTGGCTGAAACTAAAGTCTCAATATCTTTCTTGTTTCTTGTCATAATCTTTTGAAATTTTGAACATGGTCCTACATTATGAAGATCTACAGCATGATATATTAAAATTTTAATAAAAGCATGCGCATGCGCGCGTGCTGTAATCTGATTGGCTAAAACTTTAAATGGCTATATCTCCTTTGTTTTTTGACGAAATGCTTTGAAATTTAAAACATAGTCATGCATTACGATATCCTAAAATATGATATAGAAAATATTCATGAAATCACGCGCATGCACGTGTGCTGCAATCTGATTGGCTGAAACTTCAAATGGCTATAACTCTCTTGTTTTTCAACCAAACAGGATGGGATTTAGAACTTGGATAAATATAAGGGACTCCTACAAGAAGGTGTAGTCATTATGCACGTGCTTGTACGTGCGTGCACGTGAAATGAGTAAAATAAAAAATACACTCGAATGAGTGCATTTTTAATACTTTTGGATTAAATGCTTTGATATTATTAAAATTTTAGATAGTGTAGACAAGATAATATGGTCGTTACGCACATGAACACGCGTGCAATACCTATTTTTTTTATATATTTTGTATTTTTCTTGGAAGACCTTGATTAAGTCTAAATTCCATAAAGTATTTCTTATTCAATAGAGATAACAGGGAATATGGCACCAAAAGGGAGTTGGGGAGCGTTTGGGGAACATCTGTAACGGTCCCCGTTACAATTAGCACTAGTTATCACTTACATTTAAAGTTTATGTATCCCAATTGCTATTATATCAGCAATTTCTGCTTGAGTTCCATATCATGATAAAACATACCATAGTGTCTGATACCTCCGTTTAATTAATATATTATACTAGACCGAAATGTTAATGTAACCTTACAACAGAGTATGATGAACCAGATGACTTTTTGTTTTTTTACATTTTTAACTTTCCTTATTTATATAGCAATTTCGTTATCACTTGAAAATAAAGTTGATTTATCCCAGTTGATTCGATATGAACTATTTTTTTTATAATGGCAAATTAGTTAGTGAAAAAAGAAAATCAACTATTACAGTTTTGTTTTAAGTTCACATTGTCATATTCTATGGTCGATGCAATTATCTTGTCAGCAAATACAATTTAAATTAAGTTAAATATTGACAGATGTTCTTCATGCCTTGCACTATTTTAGAAATTAATTTCACACTGAATTTGATATGGACTTTCCCTTTTCCCCTATCATGACAAGGGGCTCACGGCGGGTGTGACCCTTTTGACAGGGGATACCTTATCATCTATTCTACCGGATTCGATCTCTGATAATTTAAGAGGTCCATGTTTACTTTATATTGTTTCAATTCACTTTTGCGATTGATGACTGTTGAATCTTTCTTTCATGTATATTTACATAGCGTATAAATCAAAGACTTCTACAGATACTGGTTTGCTTGCAGGAAGAGATATGTCAAGTAATAGAGAAACAGATTTACCACGTGCGACGTCGGTTAGAGACAAAATTGAGGCAGTTGAAAGTAAAATACAAAACGTAAAACAGGCTTCCTCTCAATCATTTGTTCGTGTTTTCCCCCATAAATCACCAACAGAAACCTCAACAACATCCAGCGTGTCTTCACGATTGACTGTTGTTGATAATGATCTGGTATTATCTGCAAACCTTTCTTTTCTTGTGTTCTTTCTTTCCCTTTTTTTCTTCTGTATTTTGAAATATTGTTCATAACAGTTTTTATTTATTCAAATCTATGACAATGTCACCTCTTGAACCAATATATATTCAATTATAAAGGTAATTTACATATTAAGAAGAATTGGTTGATTGTTTGCATTTATTTAATGGTGCATTAACTAAAATTTAAACCAAAGTTAATAATATTTTTTTTACAGTACTAACCTATTTGACTAAGAAAAGTAACATGCATGAATTATATCAATCACTTCTTGGATGCCTTGTATAAAAAGTGTGTTGTTTTTTTTTCAATACTTATAATCCATGAAGTCGAAGATAAAATAAAGAATCAAATTGAGAAAAAACAAACTCAAGAACAAGAAAACAATACAAAAACCATCTTTAGCAATTTATACTCTAACTCTGATCTTTAGTTTCCGAAAGAAACCACGCCCTCGACCTACACGGTTCCAAGCAAGACAGTGCATAAACCTGATGAAATACATCATCAAGATTGCTTTGATGAAGCGAAGGAGTCAAATAAAAGGGGAACTTTTAACCAGAAATTGAACCAAGTGACAGAATATGCAACTACCAAAGTTCCAGAAAAAAAAACATTGTACAGATGGCCTCCTTCCCGCACTTCTCCCAGAATAGGCATCGAAAAAACCTCATATTATGATTATCCTTCAGTACCAGGAAGGATGAAAAGTAACCATGATTTTTTTTACACGTAATTTTGCCTAACAAGAAGGCTGTTCAGGGAATTTTTACTACATGACTGTATACTTGTTTCTTCTCATTAATTGTCTCTTCTTTTTTGAAGTTAAATATCCTCCTTTTATGGCGATATGTCCTGGGTTTTGATATTGATTTTCTATTTTGGTCACAGGAGAATAATTTTTTTAGGAAATGTCATTATATTTCTTCACTTATGTGAAAGCGATGTGCATCCATGAGCTGTCGAAAATTGAACACGTCATAACTAACATAAGTGAATCACATTGTTTTGTCACTAGATATGTATGAAATCAATGTATGAACAGTTTCCTTTGTATTTATTGCAGGAGGAACTTCAAAGGTAAAACTTGACTTATATAAGCTATATTTTTTTCAATAAATATGTTTAAATGGTTTGCTATTAATTTTATTTCTAAAAATGGTGTTTTTTTTTCTTTTTGAACCAGGTAGCAGTCACACGAACATGTTCGTGTGAAGTCACATATAAAATTCCTACATTATTTAACCTTTTATTGCATCACTTATCTTATTTTCAATGAGACTGCCTTCCTATAGAGATTAAGGATTACAAAATGTTATATATTCATATATTGATTGATTACATATTGTTTAGCTCCTATTCGGGAATTCTTGATCCATACAGAGACATCACCATATAGCAAAGTGTAAAAACATTCTCCTTGAACTTCTTATAACGGTATAAATGTAATTAACTGTCACTTCAGATTAAGGTAACGCAGCCAATACATGTATATCTCCGCAACTGCATTTTCATGAGCATGGCAACAGTGTGCTAATAAGGCAGGAATATATTCCCTGTTGCTAATGCGAAAACTTGTAATTTCTTCAAAGTCAGCTACTAAGAATAAATTGGTTCTAAATTCTATATAATGTCGATTATTTTATTTTTTCTTATTTCTAGGAATTCCGTGACAGTGGCGCTTGCGGCATGGATTATAGCGACAATGACGAGGAGTTCACTAACGAATCTTACTGGGAGAAAAATAGTAAGGAATAACTATTGATTTATTTTAAGGTATATCACTCGTCATCTTTTTTTTAGAAAAGTTCACGCAGAACCTCTTAATTCAAAATTCCTCTATTAGACTTACCCGTACACGTTTAAAATCTCAACCTCTCTAAATAATCATTTATTTGTTCCACGTACCATTTTGTGAGTATTGAATCGAACATTTTTTTATTCAGTCAAAGATTTATTGATTGTTTGTTGTTTTATGTTCCATTCGAGATTTTTCAGTCATATATATAAACGTAACCATGAGCCGGTGAAAGTCTTCAAATTTTGACTTTTACTTGGCACACAGGGCCATGGAGCAGTGAGGGATCTTTATTTGGCCAATGTCTGCCGTTAATAGGGACCTCGGTTTCAATTACAAGTACCGATGGAATGGCGAAAGAACATTTGCTACCCTTTTTTTAGCTTTTCTGATCAAAATGTGTCCGTTGTTTGTTTAACTGCTGTTGTCGTTGTACTCGTTGTCGTCGTCGTAAACTGTTCACATTCTCATCTTCTTCTCAAAAACCATTGGGCCAATTTCAACCAAATTTGCAACAAAGTATCCTTAGGTAAAAATGATTCAAGTTTGTTCAAATAAAGGGCCATGTCCTTTTCCAAGGGGAGATAATTGTGACCCCCGGGGTAGGGCGGGGCAACAATGGCTGATCAAAGTAAATAGGAAATATCTTAAAGAATATCTTTTTCCAGAACCACTGGGCCAGGGAAAACTGAAACTCATATGGTAGCATCCTCATGTAGTGTAGATTCAGTTTTCTTCAGAAAACCTGGGAGTAGGGTTGGGTCAGAATGGCTGATCACAGGTTTACATAGATATATAAGGAAACATCTTTAAAAAATCTTCTTCTCCAGAACCAAAAAGCCATAGGATAAATGAAACTCATATGGAAGCATCCTCAGGTAGTATAGATTGAATTTTCTTCAAACCATAAATCCCGGGGGTAGGGCGGGGCCACAATGGATTATCCAAGTTTAATATAGGAATATATAAGAATTTACTTGAAATTTTCTCCTCCTCTTTGTCGTAACTTTTTTCTTTAACGTCATATTATATTTCAATTTGGTACACATACGAGGGTTGTCAGAAAAGTTCGCGGATAAGTGCTACTGAGAGCATGTTATTTCAATGAATCCGTGTAAATTTCCCTGAAAAAAAGGATTATTTATTTTCTAATAAATATTCAGAGATTTGGTGTTTACCAGTGAACCTTACAAAACTCTTCTTTTTTTTATTTTGATAAAACGTGCATCACGCAGCATGCTTCGTTTACTCATGTTTACATTACAGAGACCTTTTATTGATGTTAAAAATTGCCCAGTTGTAGCGCAAAAAGATTCATGATACTTTACCTTTCTCTACAGTATTCCTGAAACATCAATTGGCGAAATTTTGAATTAAGTTAGAGGATATATGACTGTTTTATAACAATTTATAAACAGCCAAAGCGTAAAAACAAAGCCAAGAATGGGAACGTCATTGCACGTCCTGGAGCACCGAGGTAGTAAAATTATGTGTATAGACGGGAAAATGTCGAAAAAGATATTAAAATGCTCCTAGATGCTGCTCAAAATTGCCTATAGGTACAAAGAACAAAAGTAATCAAAAGGTTGTAGCTTTATAAGAATGGAAGGATTAGTATTTTCAATGATCAACTCTTGCGATATCTCAATACCCCACTTATTGCATGAACATTGCGCCTATTGATTTTTGTATTGTTGTTATACATGTACCTCATCGTTTAACAGCGCTGACATTTATTTTAACCCTTTAACGCCCAGAGACGCCTTTTGACGCCTTTTCAGTATCATGGGCATTTAGCGGCTGGCGTTTCGTAAATAATTGAGATACAACAAAACAATTGATATTCTCTTAAACAAGAGAAAAAACTGAACATTTTTGCAACACGTTTAAATGAGATGCAAAGAAATTATCGTAAACTTGAAGTCAATATTGCTTATGCTACTAGGAAGTTGATAAACTTATGCATTATTGACTGATTTTATGTTATCTTCTGTTGCATTTTTCTTAATTTCAACACAAAATAATTTCTTTTTTAAAATATTACCCACTTTTGAATTTACCCTGCATGTTTTATTACAAACGTTTTAAGGTACACATGTTGCAACCACTATTGAAATAACGAAAATTATTGAAATAATTATATCAATAGTGGTTGAGAGTGCATTTCAATAGGAAACATAGTTAGTAACCACTATTGAAATACGACAACTATTGAAATAATTATATCAATATTAGATGAGAGTGCATGTCAATAGCAAACATAGTTAATAACCACTATTAAAATACGACCACTATTGAAATAATTATATCAATAGTGGCTGAGAGTGCATTTCAATAACAAACATAGATATTAATCACTATTGAAATACGACCACTATTGAAATAATTATTTCAATAGTGGGTGAGATTCATTTCAATATCAAACATAGATTGCAACCACTATTGAAATAATACTCACTTTTGAAATAAAGATCTCAATATGGACGATCAAAATAATTATTTAAATCACTTTTGAAATTATAATTTCATTAACTATCTAAATTTTCATTTAAGAACATATGATACAAACAAAGTATGGATGCCTGGATTGGTACATATATTTTGTTCTGATTTCATTGAAAATGACGCAAATAATAAATTTCTAGAATATGAAGAAATTGTAAACCTTTTGTGATGTTAAAATTGTGCTTCACTAGAACCATCCTTATCAATTTATACACTTTAATTATTAATTTATATGTTTTTCACTTAAAATCTAATTTTTGTGAAATTTTGGATAAAAAAAATACGCGGTGAAACTTTTCTTTCAATACGGTCTTATTTCAATAGTGGATGAAACCTATGGTATTCATATTGAAATGCACTCTTACCCACCAATAAAGTAATTATTTCAATAGTGGTCGTACTTCAATAGTGATTTATATCTATGTTTGTCATTGAAATGCACTCTCAACCACTATTTATATATTATTTCAATAACGGTCGTATTTCAATAGTGGTTATTACCTATGTTTGTTATTGAAAGGCACTCTCGCCCACTATTGAAATAATTACTTCAATAGTGGTCGTATTTCAATAGTGGCTACTAGCTATGTTTACTATTGAAATGCACTCTCAACCACTATTGATATAATTATTTCAATAGTTGTCGTATTTCAATAGTGGTTAATATACTAGGGGTTATCAAAAAGTTCGTGGACTTGCGTCATAAAATTAAAACCGCACATCAATGAATTTTACAATATCTCGTAAGCATCATCTTTTCTATCTAAAGAATAGATCATAAATAATAAAATTTATTTTTTGATAAATAAGTGATGTTTTTGTAAAAAATGGTATGTCCAGGCGGCGCAACCTCGAACACGACGTTTTTACGACCTATGTGTAACTGAGAAAAACTTTTGACATCCAAAAATCCCGTTAAATAGGTATGTGTCTGGACAAAATTGTTCCATAAAATACGAAATTTTTACTTCATTCTGGAAGTTCTATGAAATATTATTGCAAATTTTACACGGAATGTCCAAACAAATGAGGCCTTGAAATGACGTCAAAATGGGGGAGGGGGTTCCGTTTCCAACATTCTATAAAGTTTTGCCCCTGAAAAAAAACTGGAATATACCTAAAATATGTTGAAACTGGCTACAGAGAAATAAAATGCATCCAGAGTACTTGTCTTTTAATGTCAAAATAGATTCAGAGAGAAAAGGGATACACAGTTAATGTCGATGTGCAGTCAAGATGTGAAAAATCAATCACGTCAAAAAATGACGTTGATCATGCGTTGTAGAAACTGAACTCCCAAAAGCAAAATATACCGGCACAATCCAGCGTGGATCTCTCCCAATGAATTAATCCATTTGTAATATTATATTCATTGAAGGCCACTGTTCATGACATTATAAAGTCATATGAACAAGACGGATTTAAGTCCTTACTCAGCTCCAGGGTTTCTCATCAAGAAAGTGTATGAGGTAGAAGAAGCGGACAATGAAAAAACAATGACGTTATCGGACGTCATGAAAATAAACGACGACAGCGCCGGGTGATCATATATTGTCGTTTTCATTTTGTAATAATTTTGTAAGTAATGAACGTATCAGGCTAAAATATTCAACATTTCTTTATTTTTTGTTGTTTTATGTTCCATATAAATTTTGAAAGCACAGACTACATAGTACTAATTTTATAGCCTCAGTCAACGAACTTCTTGATAACCCCTCGTATATGTTTGCTATTGAAATGCACTCTTAACCACTATTGATATAATTATTTCAATAGTGGTCGTTATTTCAATAGTGGTTGCAACATAGACATATTCGTTACAGAGATATTTGTTGTTGAAAATTAGATCTTCTACAAGTAAAACACAAAAAATGCACTATGACGTCATTGTTTATGAACGCAATGTAAAACAAACTGATTTTTTTGATACTTGGAAAGTTTTTTAATGACTTTAATAAAGAAGACTTAATGGCTGACATGATCTGAGCCATAAACATAAAAAAAAGGTTTGAGAGAGATACCGGTATTTGTCACATGTAGTAATAGTCATTTGCTCAGCGCCCTGATTGCGAGCACCCATTGTTTAAGAAATCCCTGTCGAATTTGTATCATTTCTACTTTCTTTGTACTTAAGAACAATTAATCAAATAATTAAATGTTATCGTCACCATTTAACATGCCATTTAAAATGACAAAAAAAAAAAAAAAAAAAAAAAAAAAAAAAAAAAAACAAGCATATATTTATAATACAAGCATATTTATTGTTTAATCTTTCCTTTACTCAACATTTTAATTTTTTTTTTTTTTTTCGAGTCCTATAATTTTTTTTGCTTTGAAAAGAAAAATGTTTTTATGAAGGCGATAGGCCATATAGTAAATCACAGTAAGCAATTCTTATAATGTAATAAATAAAATATATATAACTTAAGCATCCATAATTATATTAAAATCACCGGGAATACTAGCAGGTCTTAATTTTTCTTGTTGATGAGGAATGTCTTTTTGTAACCTAGGAAAATTACATAGGAATGAAGCGATTATAAAAATCGGGAAACTTTCGTTTGAATTATTTCCCTTTCTGTTACAATAGTTTAGTTATTATGTACACAGAGGGGGAGAAAGCTTGACCGTCCATGTAAGATCGATTACCGATTCAGATTCTGACAATTCCATTGCGACTTTGAATAAAAGAAATGGGTGGAAATTGCGTTTTCAAACGCATATACAGAGAGAGAGAGAAAGAGAGAAGTCACTAAGTTGCACGAAATTTTGTCATGGCTCCCCTCTAATAATTAAAATTAATGCATTCCCATTATTTTCCGGGTAAAATTTCACAGTTTATTATTTTACAGAACTCTAAAGTGAGTTTATACTACTGTATCTATTATAAATATATTAATACAATTTTGTTTTATATCATATGCCACATATGAACTGTACGTGCGGGAAAGTAAGTACCGTGATTTAAAATAATATCTCAAGCCATGGTCTCTAGCCCGCTTTTGTCTCTAGAATAGAAGTTGGTCTTATTCTTACAACTTAACCATGTTTAGTATTTTTCTAGAAAAAGTCAAGTGTATGTCACCTGAGCAGCATTTGAAAATTTACTAAATACTTCGAAAATAACATCTTTTAAAGGTTATGTATATATGTTAAAGGAGCATGTTTTACAGCAAAGATTCGAATTTATCATTAAAGATTTTATAATTTAATTTTGTTTTTATTCTAGTCTCTCATTGGTTGCTTACCAAAAAGAACGCAAATTATTTCTTTATAACCTTGTTTGGTATGGAGAGACACCCCCTTGACAACCAGCTGAATCATCTGTATCCATACAATCCCCCCCCCCATTTCCAGTCCTTGGAATTCATGGGAAATTCGAGATTTAATAAATGTACCTTTAACTTCAAACAGTAGCTCAATCTTACCTCGTGTACATAAACATCATGGCTGCTAGATATGTATATCAGTTATTACCTCCACTTGTTTCATATCACTTCCGTTACTAGGGATGTATAACTGAGCGGCAAATTTGAACTCATAAAAAGCAAAACATAATTTTACACCCACAGTTGTTTAATTATTTTAAAATTAAATAATAAGGAATGACTCTATTTCTTGGCCAAATTATTCGATAGTAACCTGGTTTGGGTCAGTTTAAACTTTTTTATAATCCGCTTCGCGGATTATAAAGCATAAACTGACCCAAACCAGGTTATCATCGAATAATTTGGCCAAGAATTAGAGTCATTCCTTAAATAATAATGTTCTATTTAGAATGTGTTTGAATTTAAGGAAGATTGTAGAAAGGTAGAATTTCGAATATCCTAGAAATTCACAATTTCTTCATAATTTAGATATTTGATATTTGTTTCATTTGTAACCAATTTACATTCCAAAAATACGTAAACCAAAAATCCATTTGTTTGTTTCTATCATCTGTCATTAAACATATATCTCGTTTCAGGACCAGTTCCACAAATTAACTTAATTTCTTCAAAAGAAAGTTATTTAAATGAAACAATAGAACGTTCTGATTTAGTTTCACTAAGATATAAGGTATTTGAAACTGGAACCAGCATACTTCAGAGAAAAGACAGATTTTGCGAAAGAAAAGTAAAACAATTGCTTACAAGTATTGAATATCTTGATTGTGCTGGTCTCTGTTCTAGATCTGCCAAACATCATGAACTTGAAATACCTCTGCCTATCCCACTTTTCTACACGCTTTCTCAATTGAATGAATGGATTGGAAAAAACAATAAAGCATTTGCACTTTCAAGATCTTTAAGATGCCCCTGTTTCGCTAGTGCTCTGTGTGTTTTAACGAGCATCAATGCAAAGAAAATTATAAACCAAAGTGTTTTCTGTAAATTTGAACGTCAGGCTATGGAAAATCTAATTCAGCATGCTTATGACAACAGAAACTATATTCTTTTTGCCAGACTTGTACATATGTGTGTAATGAGTAAAGAGGATATACATGTACATGTATTTACAAATTTCTTTCGGAAAAATGAATATACGCCTACTACATGCATTGCCATTGACGTAATAATTGCTATTTTGATCAACAGAATCAGAAGAATCCAGTGTTTTCAAAAGCTTAAAGTCAGACTTTCACTTTGCCACAGATGCAATGACAAGAAATTTGTTTTCCTTCTGGCATATGAAGGGGTCATAGAAACAAACTCAGAAATTCCTAAATTGCTTTTAGGAATTGATCTACTCCTTTACAATTATAGACAACAATCTGATGAATCAATATCAGTTTCCAATTCGTCTGCTGCTTCTTCATTGAAAGAAAAATTACCAACAATGACAGAACACATGGCAAGAACCCTTTTCTCCCAACATTCAAATCTCTACATGATAACAGCTTCGGCTTTTAAGTCTGTTAAGTATTCAACAGAAAATCATCGGGTTGACCTGAAAGTTTGTTTTAGGTTATTTTGTCAGCATAAAGGATACATTCCTTATGGAGAAAAAGAATTCCCAAGACGATTAGGAGAATATGAAATGGATGTTTTAGAAGGATATTGCTCTTTCGGGATGGATACTTCACTAGAAATTGGAGGGCATATTCGTCGTAAAGGAGGTGCTAGTGGAAGCATTGGTGGTTTTGTGAAACTTCTTAACGGTAAAATTGGATTAATAACTTGTGCTCATGTTTTGTTTTCGCCTGAAGAATTACTTTCTGGAATCTTTAGTAACTCTGTTGTTGAAGCCTTTGATAAGAGCTCTCACACGTTTAAAGCGTGTGGAAAAATTATTGATGCTAAATTTCCTGTTTCCCGGAAAGCCACAGAATTTTCATCAGCTTCTTCAATTACTTTAGAAAACAATATCGACGCTGCTGTAGTAGAACTTGTGCCTACAATAAACTCCTTCGGATTTCGAGCTGTGCCAGAGGACCAATTGCGTTCTGCAGGTAAATTTTATATAGATTTAATTTATTTACTTTTATAAAATGATTTGCTTTTAGAAAATGGCAAAAATAAAATTTAATTCTTCAGAAATGGTAAAATTTGCCGTTTAAGCATGCTTTTTGGTGTGGAAATAGGCTAACATAATTTATTTATATTCCAAAACTCAGGATTTGATCCAGGATGTCTTCCTGCATTTCCTGGTAAAATCATTCCAGTCCCTATTCCTGATTGCAGCGAAAAAGAACAAATTCAAAACGTCAGCGGTAAAATTCCAGGAGCATCAGAAAGTGTCATAAAATTTGGTGCCTCAACCGGCTTTACCATTGGTGATCTTTACTTCAACCGTGTGCATGCTCGATTCATGAACCAACATATAAGTTTTTATGGAACAGATATAGGACCCATTATGTGTAACCAAATAGAAATTCGAAACCTTCCACAGGGAGATTTTTTTAGCATGGGTGATTCTGGATCCTTCGTTTTTTGTATAAATCCAAATAAGACATTAAGTTGTATTGGTATGGCGATAGGACTTTCTCCGAGTGGTTCTTGTTTGGTCACACCAATTGATAGAATATTGCAATCCTTTGGACTCCCCCAAACGTTAGAATCATGTTATCCTGGAGTTTCAATAAAGCCTGACACAACCCCTATTAATCCAGTTTTAGAAAACATTAGCAGATTTATGGAATCCATTCAAATACAACTAAATGACTTGAACAGAAAGGTCCAAGAGATCGATGACGAAAGAAAAAACAAGTAGAGCATGAGTAATTCTGATAGAAAACAAAATTAGTTGAGATGTAATTAAAATGATTGACTTACAAATATGCCAACCGAGTGGCTTTTTCTTTTGTTTTGACCTTATGCAAGCTATCAAATGCAAATTCTATTTTTTTATTGGAAATAAATGTAAGTTCTTAGCAGCTAATAATAAAGTGCAGAGAGACTCTCCATTAATGAAAGCACAATTCAGTAATTGTGAAGTTAATATGCAATTTTCAGCGATTGAAGAATCTTTATCATGAATTAAAGATAACGATTTTTAAAATATAAGGTTAAACGTAGATATTTTAAGCACCGCCTTCAAAACAACCTAGTCTGGGTAGCCCTGTTGATCAAGTGTGTGAAGATCCATCATTGGATGCTGGAACTTGATTGACATCTACTTACTGTTCTCTGTGCATACCATGTACACCTTGTTTGGAACTTGTAGTGACCTTCTGATTTACTTTTAAGCCTTTGATGTTTACTCAACATGGTATAAAGAAACTGTATTACTATGAACATTTTTAGATTGATAATATATAAATTAAACATACCTTTAGTATTTGAAAGGATTATGATATGATATGCATTTTTTAAATTAACTTTCGGTACATACAACTTATTTTCAAATAAAATTTCGATATTTAATTTTTATTTGCGAAATGGTTAACCTAAAGTGGAATTGTTATTGATAAACTTCAGAGTAGCACTGTGTGAAATAAAAGAAATTTGGTTTCTAATCATGGGTCACTTAAGTTTTCCTGTTTTTTATCCTGCAGATAGAATTTACGAGCAATCTTTTAGCATGTAAATGGTCACAAAGCTTTATTAAGGTTGGATGAATCTAGATATTTTTTTTCAGTGAAATATAGTTAACATGGCTCTATTTTCATTCAAGTGGTAGATGGGATCCTGGAAATGAATGAATAAAGTCTAATTTGGTTGTGGGTCATTTTTTTCTATTATCACATACTCTTAACATCTAGCTTGAGATAAAAGATACCACAAGTCTAACCTTTCTGTTTCATACTTGGATATTTTACTTTAAAAAGACACTAATGGTATTCTAACAACCAAACTACTCGTATACGATAAACGTGATGACTTTAACTTTTCTATCGTCAACTTCCCTTACTTATGCAGCAATATACCTTCAATACCTGCATACGGAGTATATTTATCTCAGTTGATTCGATACGTAAGAGCATGCTCTACGTATGAACAATTTCTAAAAGGAGGTAAATTATTGACAAGCAAGTTGATGAAACAAGAATATCAGCAGTTTCGTCATTTCGTAAGTTCTTAGTTCTATGATCGATACAATGACCTTGTCAGCAAATACAATTTATCACTGAGTCAAATGCTGACTGACGTTTTTCATACCAATTGTTAGTCCATTATTTATACACTGAATTGAAGACGGATTGTTTCTGTTATTTCCTGATCGTGACAAGGAGCACACGGCGGGTGTGACCGGTCGGCAGGGGATGCTCACGAACAGTTTACATCCGAAACTCCCCTTAAATCTGGTCTTGTCTTGGTAAACAATTGTTCCATAAAATATGGAATTTTAACCTAATCCTGGAAGTTTAATGAACTTTATTGCAATTTTTAAAATAAAAATCGAAAGAACAGAATAAATAGTACAAATTTAAAAGTGAACATGAACAATATGATTAGCCCTCATAATTTTCGTACAGAAATGACTTTAACTTCTCTATCGTCATTTTCCTTAATGTATGAAGCAATATACAATGTACCGATACCTTTGCTTCATGTGTATGGAGTTTATGTCTCCAAATTGATTTAATACATTATACAAGTACAGGTTCTAGATAGCAACAGTTGTGATACAAGCTATTAACATATAAGTTGATGAACAGGAGTGTCTATTCAACATGTAAATATGTAAATAATACACATCAGGAAATTTAAACTAAAACTGATAGTTCTAGAAAAAATTCAAATGCGCTTCTCTTTGTTTAAATCTATGAATAAATTTAAATCGAAAAAGGACACAACATTCTGTAGAATTTGAATCACATAGAAGAACATATATATGCTTTATAAATTTTTGTGAGTTATTGGTGTATGATTCACAGACCAGTAATTCACAAAACTTTACAAAAATATTTAAATTTGCTTTTTATATGCTTGGACAAAACTAAAGTTTATTCAATATTGGGTTTTATCTCTGCCATATATCGTTGCAGTCTAATTGTGACGCCACTTTAACGCACGTTTCTCTGTGTATATATAAAATGGTGCTCAAATCAATTTCACAGAGGCTTAGTAGAAAAAACAGAGCAAATGTAAATATCATTGATCAGTTATAATTTTAAAAAATGTTCAAAATGTGTACGTTATATCATTTAAAGTTTGAAGTGTTAAAGTTCAAAGAAATGTTGTCTCTCTTATCTGAGTCAATTGACCAACAGAGCTAAGCTACATGTAGCTTACACAAATCCTACTACCTCTGTACATACAGCTTATCGAATCCTTGAAACTCCTTCATTTATATATTTTTGGGATGTTTTTTTTTCTTTTTCAAGCACATATAAATCCCTAGTGATGTAAACATATAAAGTGCTGATTTTTTAAATTAATATTCTTTATGTTTCCTGTCAGTGCTTGTATGTTTTATAATTTAAGGTAAATGGGTATATTCATAAACTGAAAGTTTCATTTGAATAACGTGTTTCCTTTCCATATGCTCTTGTCCATTTAAAGTACTGAACACGTGCACGGCTACTTGCCGTTACCTTAATGTAAATAACAATAATGACAATGAAAACAATTCCAAACGAGACTGTACAAACGAGCATGGCTTTGTGTTTTTTATCCATATCAGTCCACATGGAATTGTTCGGTGTATTGTTTTCTGTATAAAGAAATGATACAAATCAAAAAAAATATTACAGTAGAGAAAGTTCACATTGGTCCTTTTTTTGCCCTGTTAATTTGTGCAAAATAAGAACTGCTCAGTTTTACTTGAAAATATGTAATATTTCACTTAGACCCTTTGTGACTTCATATCAAATAAAAATGACGTAATTTTTTCTTTTGTCTATGTATAATGACGGCATGAATTTCATCATTTTCCTAAAATCTTGAAAATTTCGTTAAAAATTACCAAAAATTTAATATGTTTTTTAATATTTTGCATAACCCCCAACCTCTGATCTAAAATGTTGAATTATATAATGAAAGAACTGTTTTAGAAGATTCTAATCCATGAAAGAATTTTTGGATCGCAGGATGGGCTCATATTTTTATCAAAAGTTGAAGATGTTCAATGTCTCCCATTTTCTTAAAAAATCAAGAACATTGCAGTTTCACAACGCCTGAATTTCCATACTTGGACTCTTAGAGGAATTTTTTTATAGGAAATGAAAGCACAAGGTCTCTACTTATTGTTGATGATCGAAATAGGATGTAAGGACTTGGTCGGTTAATTAGTATATTGACAGGGTCATTTTATGGAGTACGTGAATCTACCTCTTTGAACAATTGATATCTAGCAGATGTACTTTATAGAGTGAAAGTAATCGTGGTTACATTACATATATACCAAAATACAGTCACAATACACACGAAAAAAATAGAGGAACTATTTTAGTCAATTCTGAACATCTGTATAATGGTTTACCATAAACTTTATTGTTCATAAGATATTGATCTGTGAAAAATATAATATTTGGTTTACCTTTTCCTCTGATATTGAATGACATATAGAGAATTTTCATTTTGGTTACGTTCTGCAGAAATATCGAATCGTTCACCGGCAATGTTGTTGTTTGCTCAGCTTCATCTGTAGCATCTGAAAAGGAGGAACAGAGCAGTTACACAACAGTTTCAAATAAAAATAGATACAAGTAACATAATCGAAATAGGTTTACCGAGTATATAACAAAGTAACAGTAACATAAAAGTAACAAAGTTATATCAAGTAATAGTCACATGTTAATAGTTACATAACAGTGACATGTTAATGGTTACATAACAATACCAATAAACAAGTGAAAAATAATTGCCAGTTTTAATCCACGAATTACGTAACAGCTACATATAGATGAAAATAATTGTATTCGTTTTATAGTCACTTGAATGCTATAGAAGTAAAAGTATAGATAAGTATAGCTGCAGTTTTTTTTTCTTTTGTTAGAAAATTAATCTAACCACGATTTAGAACTTTCCTTCCTCTTATATGTAACTAATTTATCATCTGAATAAAATTTAGAAATGGATGCAAAGTTAAACAACAAAATAGAAAATAAATTACGTGTAGCCGGGCATCCGGACACATGATGGCATAGTGTTTCGTTGCAAACACAACTTTTTTGACAATCCGCTCCATAATTTGGATACCGACAGGGGAACGAACAATTTTGACCAAAGTATCCGTCTTTGCACACTAAATATATAAACAGAAAACTTCCCATATATTGCATCGATTTCTATGTGCCTGGAACGATATTTCCAAGGCGTATATTGTTTTTGACTTGTCTGTTTGTCTGATTAGCTGTTTGTCTTTTGTTTTTTATGATTGTCTGTCTGTCTGTTGTCAACTTTATATGTAACCTCTGTCATAATTCTTGAACATGAGAGATAGAGACTTCATATTTGGTATGCATACTACACATATTAAGTTCTTTTCAATGACACCTGGATCGCTGACCTTGTGACCTTGACTTAGGCCTATATGCTAAAAATAGCTTTATCGAACTTTCTCCATAACTTTTGAACCATAGGAGATACATGAAGAGACCTCGTATGTTGTATGCATACTTTACCAATTAAGCTCTATCACATTACAACAAGATCGCTGACCTTGTGACCTTAACTGATACCTATATGCTAAAATAAGCAATTAAGAACTTTCGCTTTTTTTTAACCATTGGAGATAGAGACTTCATATTTTGTATACTTACTTTACTAATTAAGTTCTTTTAAATGAATTCAAGGTCAATGACCTTGTGAGTGTGACTGTGACCTATATGCTAAAAAAAATTTGAACTTTGTTGCCACTTGGTGCATAGAGTTTCCCAAACACATACTGTTCTTTTACAATTATTGGAATAAGGAATATATCAGTTAAAATATAATTCTCTGAAAATATTCCGCTTTATTATATATGAGCTGGAATTTGAAAACTGATGTTAAGATAAATTTGTTCATATGTCATTTATTGTTCAGAAAGTAAAAAAAGGTTTTAAAACAATATTTGTCAAATGTCTATATATGCAGAATATGTTATCATCCGCAGTCTCCTTTAGAGTCATCATTTCGTAAGTCTATGGTCGATACAATGACCGTGTTATCATTATTTCAAATGCTGACTGGCTTTTTTCATGTTGATTGTTACGCCACTATTGACACATTTATTTGTCAGGAATTGAACTCTGTTATTTCCTGATCATACAACACCATACAGCACACAGCAGCTGAGACCGATCGGCAGAGGATATTCATTACCCTTGATCCTTCCTTTCATGTTTTTAAAATCGGTCTTTGCTCCGCTTCTTTTTCTGCTTTGTTTGATTGACTATTGAGCTCGAATATGTTTCGTTATCTCCACATATTTCATCCATTAATTTTAACATTCGTGGTTTTTGAATATTAAAAATATATTAAAAAGGACTATCCATTTGATAAATATTTACATTTAAAAAATATATCAGAACAAAAGCATTTTGTTTTGATTAGTTTGTATTTTAAGATAAGGATCTAGATATAGCATGTAAATGCTATTGCTTTTGTTTAATTTTATATATTCCTTTTGGTACATAATACAATTTAAAAACTAAATTAAGAACAGATTTCAGAAAACTTCTATAAGGAAAATTCACTTACATTTTAGATTCGATGTTCGCATTGGAGGTAGATTTGCAAAATAAAGAACCAGTATTGCTGGTCTTATAGGCCAAAACATCATCAAGTGTCTTTCGTATTATTCTTTGGTGGTGTAAAATTCTGAGAAGAAATTCAAACACAAAATCACTTTAAAGATGTAATTATCGAAACGTACAAGAAATAAAAACCTCTAATGAAGCATGTTATTTTTGTTACAATGCACTTTTTAAAATGCTAAGAGGAAACATATTTTATTGATTCCTTGTCTATTCATTTGGATATTCAAATAAAGCATCGATAATTTGGAATCATTAACAGCAAAGTGCTTATTTCGATCCATGGTTTAAAAAGTATATGCCTTTTTATCGGGAAGTTATTTGCAAAAATAGGTCATGTTTGGAAAAATATTTACTAAGTATTTATTGCCTCACGTTTTAGGCCTCATGTTTGAAAAATGATGAATTATTTCTTTGCTATATTTCTATTTTTTCTCATTCTTCTAGTTACCATTTGTATTGAACGATATATAAAATGCTGAAATTAAATACCAAAATAATGTGCATGTACCTTCTACAATAATGGTAAGCTACACGTAACAACTAAGCTCTATGATAAACGTGATGAGTTTAACTTTTAAATTGTCAATTTCCCTTACTTATGCACCAAAAATTTTCATTACCTGCGTTTGTAGTTTATATATCTCAGTTGATTCGATACGCAGGAGCAAGCTCTATGTATAAAATATTTCTAGAACCAGTCATTACCTCGTATTTTTACAATCGTATCCAAAATGCATACTATCACTACTTATCTTAAAATAAGTACATATTTCGCAAAGATTAACTGAAAAATACTTACAAGCTGTCTTTCAACTGTTCAAAAAAGGAAACCATTGTTTTGTAAACTCTAATATAAAGAGGATTTTGACTCACCCCTTATTGTACACAGATAATTACAACATTTACTATATGTGGTATATAAATCTAAGGACATTATTGCAGGAATCAATATGAATTGAAACGGAATAATATAATTAAAACGTTAAAAGAAATTAAAAGAATGTACACAGCACAGTTTGTGACAAATTTATTGACTATAATTAATAAATAAAAATTTAAAAAGTGTACGTATGGAGTAGTATAAGGCTCATGTGGAAAAAATATCCTCTCCGTAGTCTGCTCTTCCCTTCTCACCTTTTTTTCAATTTTCGAAAATCACAGGAACTGAATTCGAGGTAATTATATAATGCAAGTGACAAAATTTTCAAGGTATAAAATGAAATGCTGGAAGATTTTTTTTAAAAGGTAATAAATTTAAAAATGGGCAAATACTAGAGCCAAGAATGTATTGAATAGTGAGACGCCACCACTTGCCAGTGGAGAGATGCAAATTTTGTCCTATACTAGTCACCATGGCCAATATGCAGTGGGGGATCCTTTTTGTACGAGCACATACTGCGACTTACTTTGCAATCCTAAACATGTATGCACTAACCACTGGAGCACGTGGGTGACTGGAACCCAGAAAGGGTTGTGCCAATAGTCAGAGGAGTATGCAGCTCATGTCTTAAACCGGACATGAGTCAGGAGAAGATAGCACACAGTAAGCAATCAAGATGAAAACAATAGATTAGCAATTTTTTTAAAATGTCATTTGACAATCTACACAAGCAATTTACATAATTGTCAGTTTAACAAGCTTGATGATATAAAATTGATTTAAACGAGATTGTTCATACCTTTGCAACATATCCCAATGAACTTTTTTATAGAACTTTTCAGCTTGAAAAGTATTTCTTATCTCAATATATTTTATTATATTTAATGTGAATATCATTTTTACATATAACTCATAGAAAATATTTTTGATATTATGCTTGTATTTGTAATTGTAATCTGCTCTTTCAAGACTCACAAATGACTTGCTTGACGTCATAGGAAAAGAAGAGGTTACGGCTCTTATGGCAATCGATCTCAGCGCCACGTTCGATATTGTAGACCATGATATATTATCAAAAGTACATCAAAAACTATATGAAATAGGTGGCTTGGCATTAAAATGGGTAGATTCAAACGACCTCGTGGCTGCCAAAAATGTGTAAATTCTAATTCATCATCTGTGCGTCAGCTGAATTGTAGCGTTCCACGGCGTAGTTGCTTATGACCCTGGTTTGAATCTGAAGGAACTATTATATTTGATGTTATTTCTCCATCCATATCAGTTAACTGCTTTGCAGATGACCATACCGCAAATGCTGGCAAATGCTATTCGCGAGCTTGAGAATTGTGCAAAAATTTATTAATAACTGGATGAACACTAATAAATCTAAAATGAATGCATCAAAACAGAATTCATTCAATTTGAGAGTTAAACAACAACTAGAAAAATGTGTTGAAAAATTGTTCAGCATTAACGAAAATAATATCAAATTCGTAAAACGTGTACGCTATGTGGGTGCATTTTTAGATGAAAAAATCTAAATGAACGTTTTTGTTATATCATTTAATAACAATATGATACGGTTAGAAATGAGAACTGATCGATTGTATGTTCATGATTACTAGTATATTAAAAGTCAAACTAATTTTAAACATGATGGTATTTCACAAATAATGATACAATCTTTGCATATTTTTGAGAATGAACATTCATTATATTAGCAAACATTATGAACCAAATTTATGAACCAAATCTGTTTCGAATTCTAGCGACTTTAAATGTTTTTTTCCCTTGATTTGTACAACACTTCAGCATACGTTTCATGACATTGAACATGTAAAAAATGTTCTATTAATGACCTTCTTCAGAAATGTCCGTCAAATTATAAAATATATTATGTATTTTTGTTTCATTCTGCTGCGAATCCGAATCATTTAATATGGAAAGTGTACTCTGCAAGACTTGTGTTTCAGTTGTCGTACCTGGTTAAAAAGAATATAAGATCAAGTAAATTAATTTGCCAAATGCGTGTAGTAGATTGGCTTAGAAAAGAAAAAAACGTACACTGTAGTGGATTGATAGAATACTGAATTGTTCAAAATATGATCGAAAAAAAAAGGTTTTGCATCATAATGATAAGAGATGAATTATTCATGCATCTTTCACCAACTTCATTCATTTGAATACCATCAGATATGATTATCAACATATTTCAGGAATTTGTTTGTTACCATGACATCCAGTTATATGACTACACTCCTCCTCAGTGCACCGACATTGCTTCTGGCATTGTGTCCCATAACTTGGGTATCGATATTTTAACTCACAATATTTACCAATTCTACCATCAGGACAACCTAGTAAATTAAAAGCTTAAGTATGACAAAATAATTTTCAGTAAAAGTTTTGGGTATTAGAGTAAATTGTATATTCTATGCATTACCAATGCATCTACTGGTAGAATAATCCCCAGTAGAGCCAAAGCAGCATTGTAGACCAAAAATAAAACAGTCTTGTGATTAGTTACTCTACAAATTAAGAAACATATACTTAATGTTCGACAATAAAAAATCATTTTGATCATTGATTTTAAGGTTTATATTACCACTGCGTTTTTCACATGGATGTACATTGTAATATACATGAAAAAAAATTAAAAAGCAAGGGAGGTTACCGATAACATAGAAAATGTATAAAATAAAACATCTTTAGCAGTTCATCCATTCATCGGGGAGTATAAAAATGCATATGTATATTTACCTTCCACAATTTGTATCCTGTGCAACTACCAAGTCCAAGATGTCAAATATAACATGGAAGAAATGAAATTTTGAGAATCCTATACCGCGCATTTTGTTTCATTCTACTTGATTAGATATTATAATTCTATTCAATTAAAGTTCGATTTTGTCAAAATATTTTCTGTTCAAAATAAACAGAATCGGAAAAAGGAAGATATACTATTCAGAAATCATTATGAATAATCTATCCTTATGCTTTAACATTGTATATCATCGACTTATATATTCACCTCTGTGACTGACTCATACATTTCACGGCTATAATCAAGAGAGATAGTGAGTTTGTATGACTTGATAATGATAAATTTTTACCTTAAAAGCAGTCTTTGATGGTCCTTGATGGTATATACTTTATAGATTTGATTTATAGGTATGTACAAGACTGTATCTCTCTACTGACGAGGGATAAATAAGTATCCATATAGACTTTTAAATTTATATGTATTGCCTTTCATGTTTCATGCACTATATACGCATAGATTTACATGTATATTATATACACAGTCCTATTCAGGTTTGAGGACAGATTATACAAACATATCTTTTTTTTTATGTAATTAATATGTGTCACCGCATCTACTAATCTTTTTAAATATTTTATTCAGTTTCACAGCAATGTCATTTCAAGTGAAACGTATTTGTATCGTTCTATAAAGATGGTTGTATAAAGGTATAATTTTGAGCATCATAAGAGGTTTATGATTTCTTATTATTTTAAAAATTCACTACTAGGATTTGCATCATTTGCAACAACAATAAACCAAGATATATGTACCAATCCAGGCCTCTCAGCAATTTCTTGTCTTTCAAAAATAGGAGTGAATTCGATGCTTTCTTTATTACCAGGTTTTAAGGAAATACTTTGTCATCATACATAACAAAGATATGATATCAATGCACACTTGTTTTTAATAAATATCGCTAAAATACAGCCGCGGCGAGCGATATACGGCTCAACAATTAATCACTTAGTGTTGTGTACAGGAGGGTTGGACTCCTGTTTATACGAAAAAAGAAATGTAAAGTAGGGAAACAAAACGATACATGTATTCTTCTCAGGTTCATACCTAGTAAAAGACATCAAAAGATGAATTCACTGGTCATTCGATGTAAGAAACGTTTGGCTGACCAACAAAATGAAGAGAAACTGAAAAGTCCTGAGCTAGAGATCATACATGGAGACCACTGTTTCACTACACAAGCAGTCCTGTTTATGATCGGGATCGGGACATTGTCTATTAAGAGAAATTTATTCATTGAGGTTTTTCTTACTATAATTGTAGCACTTGTGAAATGAACAATTCTATAACAAATAAATAAATGCTGTTACAGTATCAAATTTATGCCTCGAACAATTTTCAAAGAGGCAATATCCCTAAACAACGCTTTATGTTTTGACATCGAGATCGTTCGTGTTACACTGGCAGATATTTTTATTGATTTGTTAATCAGAGATGTAATTTATATATATTTCACTGACGTTTCTGTGAATAATTTTA